TTTCAAACATTTGACTCTCAACACTTCCCCCCTTTCCAAATCGGAGCTGTAACCCAGGCAAGTACCAAGGCTTAGAAAAACCATAGGAAAGATCTTGGGATCCTGACAATTTGAAGATGAATTTAAACTTCACTGAAGTACCAATGTCCCTGCTTATGTTATTTCCTTATGTATTTAATAGAGTGCTTACCTCTCAAAACTTGGCTGTGGCTTGCTCTTACATTTTCTTCACACTTGCTCCCACACCTGTTAACCACAACACTGGGGCTGCCTGTCCTGGCTTTATCTCGCTGTCTGACTGTTGCTATGATGGTATAACCGTGGCTCTGCAGCTGCTACATTGGCAGCCATTCCAATGCCTAGGGCTCGTCTCTGGCCCTGGGGTGCTTTAACAGCCGCACAGGTTCTTATTGCAAGAGATGCCTGTCTCCCTCTTCTGGGTCCCATAGCCCTTTTCTCATCCTGCCTTTATAAACCACATCGTCACTTCGGAGTAGTCAGCTCTGTGTATTGAGTACCCTCACTGGGCTGCAAATTCTGTGGGAGAGAGACCACAACCTGCTTATTACAGTTTCTCTCACATTGACCAGGGCCTGGCATTGGAAAGCAAGAATGCAGAGTGAAGAATGAATGAAAATGTTCTCATTAAAAGTCTTTATTGGAACTTGAATTAAGTCACTGATCACTCCTGTTAGTTATTATTATCCCCCAAAGATACTTTTGATGTATGTAATTGGTTGCTTTTTCCCCTTTTGCTATAATACAGAAATAGAAAATAAAAATCTAGGCATGTTATAAACCTGCTAAACACTTCCTCTCTGTGAGCTATCTTTGTATATCTCTAAATCATATTTAATATTTGATTTCCTCAGCATTTCAGGCCAGCATTTCAAGTGTGCCCTGCTTCTGCGGCCCAGTGTATCTAATTCCATTGGTGCCGCAGACATAATGGCCTGGCATTTTAAAAACACTACTTGCCATGTTTTTATTTGAAGAATGGGATATTTCTGCTCTTGGATCTTAAGAGATAAGTGTCTCTCTGGAATCTTTGGGAAATTAAGAAATATACTGAAACTTTAAAACATCTTTTACTAGTGACAGTGCCAAACAGATGGCTCTTCCCACTTGAATGAGCTACGTTGACTCACCTACACTGAATTTTTCATTCCCAAGTGAGGAGCACTTTCGGGTGGGTGTTGAGGGCCTGGGCTCAGAGCTGATGAAGCTGGCTGGGCAGCCTGGCCACACACTATCGAACTCCTTTCTCTTCATGTCTGTGAAACAGGGTAATGATGCTCACTACACGAGGTTCTTGTGAACTTAAAAGAGAACATTGCGTGCATATGTTCGTAGCCAAATTTTGTGAGGCAGCACTTCCTCTATTGATGCCAATACCCTTGTTTCCTGACTAGCTCGTCTCCACAGTACTGCTCTTCCCAACAGGGTGCACTGTGGTGCCAGTAAACAGACACCACGTCCACAGGAGAGGGAAGTCTGGAACTGTGTGCTTCATACAGTGATACAGTTGAGGCAAATGGTAAAAATGATTTCACAATATTTGGATATTTTTCACTCCACAGATTTCTCTTCTAAAGCTCAGTTTTGGGGATTGTCGATCTTCCTACTTCGCCCACATTCCTTTTCAGCTCTGCCTGAGCAAACACTCCTGTTCTCAGACTTTAACGCTCTTTTTGATAGGGTATTCCCCTGACTTCTCTACTCAGTCACTTTGTTGAATTCTTCTGTGGACCTTTAGTTCTCCTAAGAACACACCTTAGCTCATCATACTCACTCTCATTTACCACCACTTTACCCTCCTTAGAGTCCTGTGGAAAAGCCCAGGGAGTTTCTTCCACAGGGATAACAGATGGCCACAGTCCAAGACACGTTTACAGCCAAAGAACACCGCTTTCTCTGGAAGTTGTTCTTCCTCTTCCTTACGAAGGTGAAACTAGTGCAGACTGCACACTTATGTTTTGTTACACCTACTATTTCCACCTTTAACTAACTAGTTCCCTTTCCATTAACAGTCAGCTGGGAGAAATAAGATTTTAGTATTAGAATGTCAGTTTTTCTCTTAAAATTTTTTTATTGTCTGGCTGCTGTTGCTCAGTGGATTGAGCACCAGACTGCAAACCAAAGGGTCGCTGGTTTGATTCCCAGTCAGGGCACATGCCTGGGTCACAGGCCAGGTCCCCAGTGTGGGGCACATGAGAGGCAACCACACATTAATGTTTCTTTCCCTCTCTTTCTCCCTCCCTTCCCCTCTGTCTAAAAATAAAGAAATAAATCTTAAAAAAAAGTCCAGTAAAGAGACATGATCAAAAATTTTTTTAAAGATTTCAATAATTTAAAAAAATATTGTCAAAATACACACTCCAGACCTAACCACTGACAACTAGTTTGTGTATCTCTCAAATACAATTGTATATCTTTGTGCTACAAAATCACCATACAAATGTATTTTATAATATTTTTGTTTTAAAAAGAAATGTTCATTTATTTAGGACTTTAATTTCTTTCAACAATGTTCTACAGTTTTCTGTGTACAGATCTTGCCCTTTCATTGACTTTATTTCTAAGATTTTTAGTCCTTTGCATGCTATTGTGAATGGTGTTCTCGTAATGGTATTGGATTGCTATCTTGTTCTTACATCATGTGGCTTTACTTCCCAGTCCTGGTAAGTGTTTTATTTTTTCTTGTTTTGTTTGTACTAGATTCCCTAGAGTTCTCGCGGGGTGGAGGGGAAGGAGACTCAAGGTTCTCCCTGGAAGAATAATCCCTCCTTATCCCAACAGCAGCCATAACTGCTCCAGTATCATCTTTCTGATATATTGAGGTTCAGCTTAAAGAGCCACTTGAATATAAATAATCTATTTTACTCTCCTTTCTTTCTTCAGAGGTGGAAACTAACTAACCTCGGAATCACTAAGTAAATTTGATGTGTAGTTTAAAATGAAGTGAAAAATTACAAAGGCAAAATAAGGTATGACATGGGTATACAAAAGAAGTAAGTGAATCAGTAAAATTGCAGCCAGTCTTGTTCCTAATGAAACATTTTATTCTCTCACTATAAATATTAATTCATGGCAGATACAACCCTTCAGCTTTATGCAAATTTCATAGAAGAAATATATGTAGATTTGTCATTTTTCTTATCTCAAATTGAAGCTGCATTTGAAAAGGTTAAAAGGCTGCATAATTACACTGTTATTAAATGTCACATGAACTGATATTGTGCAGGTTAGGCCAAGTGGCTCTGTAACTTGAGTGTTAATTATTTGCAAACTGATGTAAGGGGCCCCCAAGGATATTACTGCTGCAGCGCCAGCCCTTCTCCAGCTTCACCACCGTTCGAGTCAGCAAGGCCAGTGAATCTCTCTGTTGCTTCATAGAGGGTACAGTGGAATTTAAGCAATATTCTTGCTTTTCATGTATAATTATTTCTACTTTTGGATTTTTACCTCGTGTAACGTTTTAACAGTCTTTTCCACTCAGATCTCATGTAAACTGTATAAAAGCCAACTTGTTATTAACTCTTTTTGACAGAGAGAAATTAGTGAGAGATGAATACAAGTGGAAAAAGAAGGCCACCAGGATTTTCAATTATTAATAGAAGTAGGAGTTTGACCAGAGACTGTTTGATAAAAGATACAGGTATTGAAAGGTCTTGTTTTAAGTGGCATGGGAAAAGGGACATAAAAATGCTCTGAAAATTCCAAGAAAAATGGTGGAAACAAGAAAAGAGAATATCATGTCCAAATTTTTAAAAGTATTTGGAAAAGTCTTCCACTTAACTGTGGAAGGAAAGCTAATCAAAGTTGTTACCCACTAATTACAAACTACTAAATTTTTGTCCTTTACTTAACTATACTTACATACTGTTGGCATGAAGTGTCTTCAGCTACTTGTTGTAAAGTATAATATGAAGGTTGCTGTTTCTGAATCTACCTTTTCGCCGTTACATCAGGAGGGCCTCAGGGAGTACCTGAAAAGGAGAAATTGGGCCACTGCTACACAGTTAAGATCCTAGAAATTTTAACACAGCCTGAGTATTTTCAGTTAGAAACAGCTTTATAATTGGGGATTTGTGTGACTGGCAATATATGGATAGAACTATAACCCCCCATTGTATGTTAAAATAGAAAACTCAAAGAAATTTTTATAAACATATTCACACAGAATCACAACATATCATAAATTACATATGTAGTGCATGATGAATATAGATATAACATACTTCAAACTGATTGCAAAAAATATTTTCTCCAGTCACTTCAGAATTTAGAAATACTTTGGTAGCATTTGATGGCCTCAGGACCATTTAACATCTACTGAGATCGGGGCACCCACGCCTTTCTTTCCTTCTGATCAATTTCCCTACAGCAAGAAAAAATATAAGAAGTGGTTCCCTTGACCCTAGAGCTGTGTTCAAGTTATTTTATGACAGTGGCATTTTTTCTCATTAATACACATTTTAACAAGTATGTACTATCTTGCTGAACCTCCCACAGGGGTCAGGCCACTGCCAAGCGCCACACATTCAAAATGGTGCCACCTCTGCAAGGCAGCTCCTGCACCTTAGAGCAAGCGAGCGTCTGCGTCTGGCGGTCAAGTCTTGGCTCTGTTCCTTCTATACATGTGAACTTGGGCAATTTACTTGATCTCCTCTAAACTTAGTTTCATCAGTTTCACTGGGTGAGCAACACCAAGTTCATGGGATTATTTGGAGGACTGAAATGTAAATTAAAGACTTGGCATGGGATCAGTGGTAGCTATGTAGTAACTATGTCTCGTTCATCAGCATATCAGGACCAGGAGATAAAACCTTTGGTGGGCAGAGTAAAGAAATAATGAAAACCTTCTGCTCTATTTCTTGCTTGCCCTCTGTCTCAAGTGTATCTCCTCACTGCACTGAGTAGTAGCAAAGGCTAAAGGAGGCTCCAGAATGTTGAGCGGAGCCACAGTCAGACACCAGCTTACCTCAGTGTTGGTTCCACGGTTCCAGGGGAAGGATGGAGGAGGTCATGGAGTTTAGGGCCCGGCCACTTCACTGGGGTCACAAAGCAGATGAAGACAGGGCCAAAAGTTCAGTTAGGAGAGCAGAGCGTGCACCAGGCTGCTGCGTCTTCTGTGCTGCATTTCCTAAGGAGTCTAGGAGCACTCTGTGACCAGACAGGCTGCAGATCCAGAACCCCACACAATTCTTGAGTCTATTAAATTAGTAAAAGTAATTTTTTAAATTTCTAAAACCATGTGTGCGTGGGCAAAGGGGATATAGGGTCACTCATACACTTCTGCTGACACTACAAAAGTAAACTTTCAGGACAGTAAATTGAATGAAATTTGGGGGGAAATTATAAAACTAATCATATTAATCAAGACTTCCTTACTCAAGGAAAAAATTCATTCTTCTGTACCTTTGAAGGATTCAAATTGCGAACATCACTAAAGATTGAGCTGTTGACCATGTTCTAAGGCTTACACTGTATATCTCAAGATTCAAAAGAAAGAGAGGACTACTTTTCTCTTTCCACCTTGGGCACTTATTGAACAGACTCAGGTCACATGTCCTCCCACCGACAAATCAGTCACTGCCCAGAGGAATGCAGGACAATGACAGACTCGCCAGTGAAGGTGGACACCATGAACGGCCATGCTCTCCAGGCTGTGAATTCTCCTCCTTCTTATTATCCTCCTTCTCCAAAGGAAGGGGGATGATGGTACCAGACAACAAAGGATGGGGAAGTGTCCTTGATAAAATAAAAGTTACTACAATCCAATATTCTAATCATGTCCTTTGCAGGGATAATACTATTCCTGAGACTATATCCCCAAAAAGTAAAAACAGGAGCAGGGGAGGGTCTGTGTGATTGCTGTGCCAATATGTCACAGCTGTGTACATTTCAAATACAAAACAAAACAAAACAAAATGAAACCCAACCTGAAAATGGCCCAAATGTTCAAATGCTGAGGAATGGGAAAGGTGCTTTGGTGTACTGTAGTGATAAACCATAACATGCAATTAAATTTATTAAACACTGAGATGGACTTGGACCAACAGTGGTGGGAACACAGGATGGATAAGACGTGGTCCCTCCCTGCCCTTCAGCAGTCACTAGATGGTATTAGTGGTAACAGTGATGAGCATGTGTGAGTGCTCTCCTGTTGATAGGCAGTGAGTCACGTGCTTCATTACTACAGATTCAATCCTCTGAACAATGTTTTGAGATAGGCACTTTGGTGCCATCCATTTTATTAATAATAAAAACTGATTTTAACACAGCTAATAAGTGATGAAAAAGGGACTCCGTTCAAGGCCTTCCACTTCCGAAGCTCACACTGTAATAGAGGTTTAAAACAAAACTGTAGGAACTCAGAATGGCTTGTTTTAAGGTGAATTACAATTTGACGTGCAATAAACTGTGCACATTTAAAGCACACAATCTGATAAGCATTGAAATGCCACTGTGAAGTCATCTGATCTCTTTTCTGGGACTACAGATTAATGTGAAGTTCTAGAATTTTATTTGTGTTTAACTTCTTTGACTCAGCCTAATGATATTGAGATTCATCATACGGTTGCATGTATCAAAAGTTCAGTTCTTTTTATTACAGAGTAGTATTCTGTTGTTTGGATATACCGTATACATTTATTCATTCACCTGCTGAAGGAGATCTGAGTTGTTGCCAGTTTTAGGATATTACAAATAAGACTGTTATAAACAGTCATGTACAAGTCTTTATACAGCCAATGCTTTCAGTTCTCTGGGATAAATATCCAACAGTGAAACGTGTGTATCATATGGTAGATGCATATTTAACTTTTTCTTAAGCTAAACTTTTTAGTTTGAGACAATGGAAGATCTGAATGCAATTGCAAAAATGAGGTAGAGGTCCTGTGTAACCTTTGCCCAGCTTTTCCCCAATAGCAACAGCTTGCAAAACTACACTGCCAAAACCAAGATTTTAACATTGATAAAGTCAAAATGCAGAATGTTTCTATTACAAAACACTAATTAATTCTCCGTTTCTAGAATTCATTACAAGAATATTATGTAAATAGAAGCATACCGTGTGTAACCTTTGGGGGTCAGCTTTCATCACTCAGAATAATTCCCTGGAGATTTCTCCAGGGCATTGCATGAATACTACTCAGCAATAAAAAGGAATGAACTGCTGATACATGCAACGGCAATTAAAAGCATCATGATAAATGAGAAAAGCAAAATATAAAAGGCAATGATATTTCACAAAAGGCAAAAACTACATAGGGACAGAAAATATGGTTGTCAAGGGCAGGGGGTGAAGAACAGAGATTTACTTCAAGGAGGCAGGAGGGGACTTCGGGGGATAATGAAAATGAAAATTTTAATTTTAGTGGTAGCTATATGACTATTAAGTAACTAATTTTTCTCCTCACCCAAGGACATGTTTATTGATTCTTAGAGAGAGAAGAAGAGAAACATCAATGTGAGAGAGAAACATCAAACAGTCGCCGCTTGCATGTGCCCTCCCTGAGACTGAACCTGCAGCTTAGGCTTATGCCCTGACCAGGGAACCTGTGACCTTTTGGTTACGGGATGATGTTCCAACCAACTGAGCCACACTAGCCAGGGCTACTTTTACCTTTTAAATGTGCACTGGGTGAGCATTTATGTTTACCCTTACTATATCTTATCTATAAAATGACTTTTCATATCATTTCCCATATTCTATGTGTGGTGTCCATTTTTTCCTAGTAAATTGTAAAAACACTAAGTTTTTAAGATTTTTTAATGTTTTTAAGATTTTAAAACATTTAGTTATATACAAAATCTTCTGCCAATATGTTGTTTTTAATTTTACTATATACAGTTTTCATGGAAATGCCACTAATTTTTATGCAAATTTACTTATTCTTTTCCTTCATATAATCCTGGGTTTACACCATACAAAGAAAGGCTATCCCTACTCCAAGATTATATACATATAATAATATATGTTTTCTTCTGGTACCTTAAGGAGGTACTAGAAGGTATTTGCTAATTTTATTAGCAATTTTTGCTTGTGCATACTTTATTTTGGTATATGTTGCCTGAACATGATTTATTTGAAGAATCTGTCTTTCCCCCCACTAAGGCCACTGTCATTGTGTACCAGATTCCTGTATCCGTTGGACTTTATTTATGGATTGCATCTGTTCCATTGGTATTTCTGGTCATATGCAATATTCTTTTTAAGTGTGGAACACATTCACAATCTTGCCCTGAGAAATGAGTACATCTACTTCTATCTGCCCCTTATCATGAGAAAGATAATGCTCAGCTTAGCATTTTAATCAACCCAAAGCAAAATATCAGTCTTTCAAATATACTATTTAATACCTATTACTGAGTGTTACATATATATTAGATCAAAATAACAACTCTGAAAGTGTAATTATATAGAATACTAGGAAAATTAATATTTTAACATCTGTGAATTAATGCATAGTACCATCTTTAGTTACCCTACTTAGGATGACTAACACAAAATCTTTTTGTAGTTTTAAGGTCTCCTCCAAGGAATGATTGGTAATGATGCTTAGTGCAGCAAACAGTGATTTCCTGATTGTGCTGCAGCTCTGGTTCATTAGGACTGAGCTAGAATGAGCTCGCACACTTGGAATTAGACTACGCAAGTGTGCAAGCAGTACATGGATCTGGCACCATTTCCCGATTGGCATGTGAAAACTCAAAAGGCACTCTTTGTCCACAGTTATGTTTTCAAACAATGAAGAATTAATAATGCTTCTCCTTAAATGAATATGTTAAAAATTGAAGACTGGAGAGCAAACCCTCTAATAACAGGGTCAGTAAACATCACTCATCATTTGTCTGTGGATCCAGCAGATTGTAAGAGCAGAGTGAGTGTGCCGGCCCCATCCCCAAACCCCCAGGTCACAAGCGCAACAATGACCCCAGGTCCTCATCCTTCGTGTGTCAGATATTTTAGGCAAGTTCTTTACATAAAACCTACAGCTAGATTGTGTTTTCAAACCCTGTTTGACAATCTGTGTTTCAAAAAAACAGTTTAATTCATTTTATTTATCACGATTACTCATATATTTGGATTAATTCCAAACCATATTGTATTGTTTCTATTTTCTGGGCTTTTTATTTGTTCCTCCCCCTACTTTGCTTGCTTATTTATTTATTTAGTTCATTGAGTTTTCTGCACTCACTTTTTTCTTTACTAATTTATGGGTTTCTGATTATACTTGACTAAAAATATAAAATTAGTCAATATCCCTTTTTTCTTAAAATGTGAGGACACTGATTTATATGTTCATTCAGTTTCTTAGCTTTGCCTTATCTTTTCCATCCTATAATAGTAATTCTTCCTTCTTTTTCTTTGTTATATAATTAGCTGTTAATTTGATTTATTCACATTGTATGTTCATATTATTCTTACTACCCACATCTTACTCAGGTTTACATTTTCTAAAATAGATACTTTCATAAATAGTGATCTGAGTGTTATAAATTTATTCTTTGCTTCTTTAGAAGGGATATTACTTTTGGTTTATTTTTTTTCCTCAAAATCAAAATGGCTTTTATTGTTAACTTATCTCATATAAGTCTCAGGAATTATTTAGCCTCTTGCTGTTTCTATAGCTGGACAATTTACATCTTATTCATCAGCCTGCTGAACTCTTTGTTTTTCAGAAGCAGATACTATCCCTAAATTTTCTGGTATCTTCATTTTTAACTATTGTGTCTTGCTGAATCAAAGCAACTGAATTTGATTCAAGTTCAATGTCATTTCCTTCAAGAATCAACTCATCTTTTTGGGCATGAGATACTGAACAAGCAATGCCTGACCTCAACCAAATCCTGAAGATGTACTTTTTGCCCAAGAAGTTTCTGATCTGAACAAGAGAACCATTCTCCTGGATAATGACATTGAGGGGGAGGTGAGTGTACACAGACCACATCTTGTAATGGAAGTCCAGTGTTTCACCCTCGATCGTGTTCTGTATGTGAGTGTAGACAGTACTTTTCATAGTTTTGAAGAGCTAGTATGGAAAAGTTAAAGTCCAGGGCTTAATTGAAGGTCTTCTGAGACCCAGGATATCTCATCTTAAGATCAGAGGACAATGATTTGAGATGGCTGATGCATCCCTTCAAGCACTTGACAGCAGCAACACTATCCACTTTGGGGAACTATAAATCAGCAAGGAAAAAGGACAATAACCCAGTAGAAAAATGAAGAGTCAGATGGGTGCTCAGCTCAATAGTGTCCAGGATAATGCAAATGAAAGCTACAATAGAAACCACTGATCACTCATTGGAAAAGCTAGAATTTAAGACTCACAATACCAAGAGTTGGCAAGGATGTGGAAGAAAAGAAACTGTCATGTACTTCTGAGGGAAGTATGGTTGTTACAACCACTTCAGAAAATAGTCTGATGTTATCACTACATTTCAAGATATGTACACCTCATGACCCAGTAATTTCACTATTGTATATGTTTATTCCCTATAGAATTGCATGTGTGTATGAATCAAGAAACACATACAAGGATGTTCATTGCATCTAATGAACTGCTATTTGTTGTATTATTATGGTAGCAAAAAACTGAAAAATGTCCAAAGATCCATCAGTAAAAAAATGTAGAAATTCTATATCTTAACTATAGAATCTAAAACACATTTATTACACAATGGAATAATAGCAGCAATGAAAATAAACAAACTATGGATGCAATTAAGATGCAATGATATGGATAAGCTCACATGATGTTCAATAAAAGAGCCAAACAAAAAGTAAAAGTATTTTATATGACTCAATGCATATGAAGTACAAAACCAGGCAAAACAAATTTACAGTGTTTAGAGATGCATGTTTGATGTGGTCAAGTATAGAGAAAAACAAACACGTGATCATCATCGTGAGTGCAGGAGACCCTGTCGCTCACACACACACAGACCTGTTAGACTTCCTGAATGAATTCAGCAAGACACAGAATCAACACAGAAAAATCAGTTGCATCTGTATATATGAACAGTGGGCAATTGAAAAAGGAATTAAGAAAACAATTTCATTTACATAAAAAAGAGTAAAATACTTAGGAATAAACTTAACCAACGAGGCAAAATACTTGTACACTGAGAACTATGAAACATTGTTGAAAGGAAGTAAGGAAGACACAAATAAATGAAAAGATATCGCATGTTTGTGGGGTGGAAGACTTAACACCCCACAACAATTGACAACATTGTTATGTTGTCAATACTATAGCCTATGTGATCTACAGATTCAGTAAAATTCCTACAAAAACCTCAATGGCATTTTTTGCAGAAATAAAAAAATTCCATCCTAAAATTCATATATAATCTTGAGGGACCCCAAACAGTGAAAACAATTTTGAAAAGAACAAGAGCCAAAAGGTAGAAGCAATCCAAGTCTCCATAAATAAATGAATGGATAAAAAAATATAGTGTGTGTATATTATTAGTCATATGTGTATACTATATTAATAATATATTCATGTTATTCATTCATAATATTCATAATATTAATATATTTTCATTCTTGAAAAGGAATGAAACTCTGACACAAGTTTTGACTTGGCTGAACCTTGAGGACATTATGCTAAATGAAAAAAGGAACCTTAAAAGACAAATACTCTATGATTCCACATTTATGAGATACTTAGAGTAGTCAAAATCATAGACAGAAAGTCGAATGGTTGTCAACAGGGTCTGGGGAAAAGGGATAATATGTTACTGTTCAAATGGGTAAGAACTTTTAGTTTTGCAATATGAAGAGTTCTAGATATAGATGGTGGTGATGGTTACATAACTATGCGAATGTACTTAACACCTTTGAACTGAACATTTAAAAACAGTTAAGATGATAAATTTTTTGTTATATGTATTTCACCACAATAAAACCTTTTGAAAAACTCATTGATCATGTATATATGGTTCATTTTTGGGCTCAATTCCATCCATTGATCTATATTTTAACCTAATAACAGCACCACATTGTTGGAATTATGTAGCTCTGCAGTAAGTTTTGAAATCAGAAAGTGTAAGTCCTCCAACTTTGTCCTTCTTTTTCAAGATTCTTTTGGCTATTTGGGGCCCCTTTTAATTCTATATGAATTTGAGAATTGGCTTTTCCAGTTCTGCAAAGAAGACACTGGAGTTTTCCAGGGACTGCGTTGAATCTGTAGGTCACTTTGGGTAGTACTGTCATCTTTACAGTATCATGACTTCTAATAAATAAACATGCGATGTTGTTCTCCACATAAATAGAACCAATAGTATGAAAGGGAAGAGAGAGATGAGAGAGAGAGGGAGAGAGAGAGAGAGAGAGAGAGAGATACTATAAGGAACTGGCTCACAATTACGGAGGCTGAGAAGTCCAAGATCTGTTGTTGGCAAGTGGGAGACTCAGGAGAGCTGGTGATATTATTACAATTGGAGTCTGAGGCCTAAGAAGCAGGAGAGCCAATGGTGTTCCAGTCTGAGTCCAAGTATGAAGGAAGGAGAGGAGCAATGTACAGGTTCTGAGGTAGGCAGAGAGAATGATTTCTTTCTTACGCAGCCTTTCAAAAATTCAGGCCTTCAACAGATTGAATGAGGCTCACCCACATTGGGGAGAACATTCTGTTTCACTCAAGCTACTGATCAAAAGATATCTAAACCAGAAACATTCTCGCAGACACACCCAGAAACTGTTTAACCAAATATCTGGGCACCACAGCTCAGTCAAAATGGCACATGAAATTAGCCATGAGAATTGGTTCTTACCTGCAGCCAAGGTTGAGAACCACTGCTCAGGGTACATTGAATTTCGTCCAGGGGAAAGAATGAAATTAAAACCTGTAAATGTCACAAAGGATAAAAAGTTCTTTTTTATGGCTGAGTAGTATTCCACTGTGTAAATGTCCCATAGTTATTTTAACCCTTTGCAACAGCATGGACATGGAGAGCATTATACTAAGTGAAATAAGCCAGTCAGAGAAAGGTAAGTACCATATGATCTCATTCATATGTGGAATCTAATGAACAAACTGAACTCACAAGCAAAATAGAGAGACTCATGTATGGAGAGCAGGCTGATTGCTCTGGAGGGGAGGTGTTGGAAGTGGAGACATCGAGCAAAAAAAGAAAGGACTCAGACATAAACAACAGTGTGGTGATTATGGAGGAGGTAGAGTGGGTGGAGGTAGAAGAAGGTATAAAGAGGACAAAGAGTAATAGAAAAATATATAATAAAAAGTAAACTATTTTTTAAAAACCCTACAACTGTCTTCAAGGAGTTAACAGTCATATCAATGATCAGGTGCTTCTCACAGTAAGTAGAATGCTTAAATAGGTAAGTTTGGTATGGAGAAATTAGAGGAAATTATATTCTAACAAAGGTTTGCTTTATGTAGATCTAGAAATATATTCACTTTTTTCCATATCCCCACACAAGGGGAGGAGATTCCAAACATGTAAACAGGGATTTTGAACTCTTTTAAGCAATGAGCTACTTCAAAATCCTAATGCAGGTTTGTTGCATTGAACAAGAAAGATGACTTTAATTTTCCAGCATAATTTGAAAACTTGCCATTTAATTACTAAATATTTAAAAACTTTTCAGTATGTTCCCTCTTGTATTCTTATAAACCTTTTATGAGTTGAGGAAAATCAGCATAGCATTCATGAATAAGTAAGCATAAAGCCGCACTGGTGTGAATTCAGTGATCATCACTATTCTGTTTTGTCATTTGGCAGCAAGAATACACTTAACATCTAAACATAATCAGCATCAAATTTGTGATGTTCTATTCTACAGCTCCAAATTTCAAAATACAGAATTTGAGTCTGTTTATCCTCTGGTGGTATATTTAGGCATGAAAGGCAAACTGCTGAGTGTGAATTCTGTTTCCTATTGGCGAAGGGTAAGCCTGTTCTCCATTTAATGAAGCATCTTTGTCACGGCCATTGGGAAAAAGTACACAAAGCAATGAGAACAGCCACTGATGTAGCCTTGTCTCAACCAAAAGCTGATTTCTGTCTTCCTTAAGGTTATAATCAAGCTAAGCTCAGACCTAACAGCCCCTGGCTGGACAGAAAATGACCTCAGAACTGACTTAGACCACCCGACTTGTGAACTCTATTTTTTTATTCTGTATGATTTAGCTAACTTTCAGAATGTTATTAAAGCTCTTCGAGTTCTTTTAATTAATTTATACAAAAGTTTACATTTATGATTTTTTTCTAACTTCCCAAATTCCATTAAAATTATACTACTGGGATAAATGATAGAAAATAGGTATGCCCCCTTCTCAACCAAGCCCCTTTCTACCCTTCCAACTGTAACTACTGTACTGACTTTTTAAAATTGTATGTCTGCCCTGGCTGGTGTGGCTCAATGGCTTGAGCACCAGCCTGCAGACTGATAGGTTGATACTGATAGGTTGCTGGTTCAATTCCTGGTCAGGGCACATACCTGGGTTGCAGGCCAGGTCCCCAGTTGGGGACATGTGAGAGGTAACCAATTAATGTTTCTCTCCCTTTCTTTCTCGCTCCTTTCCCTGCATCTGAAAATAAATAAATAAAATGTTTTTTTAAATGTATGTCAAAGTACACATAACAAAATTTACCATCTTTACCATTTTAAGCTGTTCCAATTAATAATGTTGCATACATTTACATTGTTGAGTAACCAGAACTCCTCATTGTGTAAAATTTTGAACTTTATACTCATTAAATGATAACTCCTCATTATTGCTTTTTTCCTAATCCCCTGGCAATAGTGCTTTACTTTTTTGTCTTTATGATTATTACTACTCTAAGTACCTTATATAAGTGGAATCAGACAGTATTTACTTTGACGTTTTACTTAGCATGGTGTCCTCAAGATTCATTCACATTGTAGCACAGGTCAGAGTTTCATTCCTTTTTAAAAATAAATAATATTCTACCCTGGCTGGTGTAGCTCAGTAGATTGAGCATGGGTCTGTGAACCACACAATCGCGGTTCCATTCCCAGTCAGGGCACATGCCTGGGTTGCAGGCCAGTTCCCATCAGGGGACTCACGAGAGGCAACCATACATTGATATTTCTCTCCTTTTCTCCTTCCCTTCCTCTCTAAAGATAAATAAATAAAATCTTTAAACAAAATAAAAAATGAAAATGAATAATATTCTATTATATGTATAGACAGCATTTCCTCAAATAACATTGTTTCATTCAACATCATTTCATATAATGATGAGATACCACAGGAGCTTAACTCTCGTTTATATAATGAGCCTGTGGTAACATTGGTTGTGTTATACATTGTTTTGCTTAGTTGCAGAACCTGGCAACACAGAATAAAGACTTACTCTACTATATTTTGCTTATCCATTCATTTGTTTATATACAAATGGGTTGCTCCCACCTTTTGGCTATGTGATTAATGCTGCTATGAACACATGTGTACAGATATCTTTTAAAGACCCTGCTTTCCGTTATACTGGGTATATTCCCAAACAGAGAATTGCTGAATCACATGGTAATTCTATTTTTAATTTCTTAAAGAAGCACCAAACACCTTTTCACAGTGGCTGTACCATTTTATATTTTCACCAGTGCAGGAGGGTTCCAATTTCTCCACATCCTTGTTGACACTTGTTAATTTCGGTTTTGTTTTTTTGACAGTAGGTAGAATGTCCAGTGGTTATCTCATTGTGATTTTCAGTTGTATTTCTCTAATGATTAGTGATGTTGAGCATCTTTTCATATGCTTCTTGCCTATTTTTATCTTCTTTCAAGAAATGTATATTCAAGTCCTTTGCCCATTTTTAATTGGGTTGCTTGGTTTTTGTTGTTGTTATACTAGTTCTGAATTTACATATTCTTGATATTTACCCTTCTTCAGATATGTGATTTGCAAGTATTTTCTTCCATTCAATGGGTTGCCTTTCTACTATGTTGTTAGTTCCTTTTGATGGACAAAATTTTTAAATTTCGATGTAATGCTATTTGTCTGTTTTTTTCTTTTGTTCCTGGGCCTTCGATGTCATTGACTACTTGAATTTTGACAAGAGTGCCAAGAGCAATCAATGGGAAAAGAAAAGTCTTCTTAACAAATGATATTAGAAAAACTTGATATTACACACAAAAGAATGAAGTTGTGGCCCAATTTACACAATATAAAAAAATTAAATCAAAATGTATTAATTAAATATAAGAGCTAAAACAAAAAACTCTTAGAAGAAAACATAGTAAATTTTCATAACCTTGGATTTGGCAATGGATTATTAGATATTACATCAAAAGCACAAGCAACAATAATGACAACAGCAAAAAAAAAAAAACCCAGCCAGGTAAAGTAGATTTCCTCAAAATTAAAGCTTTTGTGCCCCAAAAGACATAATCAAAAAGTGAAGACAATAAATAAAATAGAAAAGAATACTTGCAAATGATATATCTGACCAGGGACTAGCATCCAGGGTGTATAAAAACTCTTACAACTCAACGATAAAAAAGACAACAACCTTTTTTTTAATGGCAAATACTTGAATTCATGTCCAAGAAGAACATAAAGAGATACTCGATATCTTTTTTTTTAAACCTCGCCTGAGGACATTTATTCATTGCTTTTTAGAGAGAGAGAAGGGGAGAGAGAGAGAGAGAAACATTGATTGGTTGTCTCCTATAGGTGCTCAGACCTGGAATCTTATGTGCCAGACTGGGGATCAAACCCTCAACCTAGGCGTATGCCCTGACCAAGAATCAAACCTGCCATCTTTCAGTTATGGGATGATGCTCTAACTAACTGAGGCACATTGGCCAGGGCAAAGATGCTCAATACCTTAATCATTAAGGAAATGCAAATTAAAACTATAATGAGGTACCACTTCATACCCACTAGGATGATAACTATATAACAACAATGATGCTATACTATAACCAGTGCTGGTAAAGATGTTGAGAAATTGGAAACTTTGCATGCTGCTGGTAGTAAACAAAAATGGTTCAGTCACTGTGGAAAACAGTTTGGTGGTTCCTGAAAAAGTTAAAAATAGAATCACCATATGACTACAGAATTCCACTCTTAGAGGTATACACCCCAAAATTAAAAACATAACTTCCATGTGTACATTCATGTTCATAGCAACACCATTCACAACAACCAAATGGTGGAAGCAACCCAAGTTTCCACTGATGGGTGATGAATAAACAAATTACGATATGTACATACATTGAAATATTCAGTGATAGAAAGGAATTAAATACTTGCTACAATGTTGATGAACCTAAAAAATATTATACTAATTAATGAAGGCACCACTTGCATAGAAGCTTCCTCAGTCTAGTTATGGATGGTATTATGGGCCCTGTTAGCCCAGGGGGGCAAGAACCATGCCACTGTGAAAACATGAGTTCTTAGTTGTTTCTACATTTTTGCTTCACTATCTCAGAGTCCTAATGGAACACATCTGATTAGCAGAGTCTAACTCAAGTGCCCACGTCCTAGTTCAAGGGGGTTGGGAAGACAAATATTTGGATTTTTCCACTTATACAGTGAGAGGCAGGCCTTGCCAAATTTACTGGGCAAGAAATTCCTTAACAAATAAATAGTTCAAGTGGTGAATAGCCTGTTCCCTCCACATGGTAAATAAGTACTACATAATTTGACCTTGTTTTGGAAATTTTAGGTCATGCAATATGAAAGTATTTGGAAAGCGGAAAAATATCTTCATTTGCAGATGACATCTCAGTGAAAAAATGGAAATGTCAGTGAAAAACTCCAAGAACTACTGAGGAAATTTATGAAAATGGCTGGATACGAGATGAGTATACAAATACCGATAGCTTTTCTAATCCACTAGAAATGGACATTGAAATTTTCCCATTATCATAGCATGAAAAAAGTAAATATATATGAACACATACGATAGAGAATTCTGTAATCTTACTAAAAGACATAAAACAAAGCTTAAACAAACAGACATACCATATTTATCATGAGTAGTGGTATCATGAATGAATGGAAAGAGGTAAAGTTTAAAAAAATTAATCTTCCCCAAATTAATACATCAAATAAATATAATCCAAATCAGAATAATAATTCATAGAGGTAGATAAATTTGTTCACATAGAAATGTTCATATAAAAAAGGTCATATGAAAAAGTGTATGTGGAAGAGAAAAAACTTCCAATATATAAAGTATAGACAATAGCCAAAGTATTGTAAAAACAGTTGCCTTCAGGTATCAAACCTTACTAAACACTACCGTAATTAAAGTAGTCTAGTATAGGCGTTAAAGTAGACAATTAGGCTAGTCGAATAGAGAGGAAGAAACTTACCCACATTATAAAGGTGACATTTCAATTTAGTTTTAAAATGGTGGCTTAAACCTCTGGCCAAGATGGAGACGTAGGTAGACAGACACACTGTGCCTCCTCACACAACCAAAAAGACAACAATTTAAAAACAAAAACAATGAGAACTGACAGAAAACCGACCTCTGTGGAAGTCTGACAACCAAGGAGTTAAGACACACTCATTCAGACTGGTGGCAGGGACAGAGACTGGCAGTCAGGCGGAGAGGACTTGCAGCAAGGTGGTGGCTGGAGGACCTGGGTGGGCAAGGCCAGGTGGCAAATTGCGGACTGGGCAGTCACACATTCCTGTGCAGATAAACAGGAGGAACAACTGGGGATCGGGATGGACTGTGCAATCCAGAGCCCCAGCCTTGAGACATAAAGCCTCAAACCGTTACAGGTGATTGAAAACACCTGTAGGGGTTGAGGCAGCAGTGGGAGAAACTCCCGGACTCACAGGAGAGCTCGTTGGAGAGACCCACAGGCTCCTAGAACATATACAAGCCCACCCACCCGGGAATCGGCTCCAGAAGGGCCCCATTTGCTTGGGGGAAGTGGGGGAAGTGACTGAAATCTGGCAGAGAGTGAAGCCAGCACCATTGTTCCCTTTCAGACCCCTACCCCATATACAGCGTCACAACAGCCGCATTGTGGGTTGGCCACCCTGGTGAATATCTAAGGCTCCGCCCCTCACTACGTAACAGGTGCGTCAGGACAAAAAAATTACCCAAACGAAAGAACAGATCAATGCTCCAGAAAAAATACAACTAAGCAACAAAGAGATAGCCAACCTATCAGATACAGAGTTCAAAACACTGGTAATTAGGATGTTCACAGAATTGGTTGAATATGATCACAAAATGGAGAAAAAAGTGAAGGCTATGAAAAGTGAAATAAAGGAAAATGTACAGGAAACCAACAATGAAGTCAAGGAAACTGGGACACAAATCAATGGTTTGGAGCACAAGGAAGAAATATTCAACCAGAACAGAATAAAGAAACAAGAATTCAAAAAAATGAGGGGAGGCTTAGGAAACTCCAGAACATCTTTAAACGTTCCAACATCTGAATCATAGGGGTATCAGAAGGAGAAGAGGAAGAGCAAGAAATTGATAACTTACTTGAACAAATAATGAAGGAGAACTTCCCCAATCTGGCAAAGGAAATAGACTTTCAGGAAGTCCAGAAGCTCAGAGAGTCCCA